ATACCTTTCCTATATTCCTGTCCCGTGATTAATTATTTTGATAATTGTTATTCTCCAAGGCAGTGGGACTTTCACCCTAATAAGTCTAACAACAACAACACCAACATTGATAGAAAACCTCACAGTGCACAAACTAGATGTATTAAAAACGCGACAGCAGTTTCGAAATCCTCCTGAATTCTGTCTTCAGGTGGAAACTGCTGTCTCGTTTTTAATCAATCTAGTTTTGCATTGTGGGTTTTTCTACCATAGTATCAACACCAGAGCGTTTTACCCTTCAACAGCAACATTGGAGGAGGTGTGGGATCCTGTCGTTCTCTTCGATCCGCTTGCTCCCGCCAAAGGGACCTCGACCGCCAACACTCCTGCCTGTCTTGGTTGGCTCGAACATGCGGGCGCTGAGTCACATAGGACGCGGCGCAGCGAATAAAAGCAGCGCAGAGCAATATGTAGTTCCTAGAGTAAGCAATAAATGGTGGCGTAGGCATGGCTGTAAGGGGAGGAAGGGAGGCCAGTTTTATTTGAAGAACAGATACAATTATTATTGCTGTTGATGTTATTTTGATTATTGCTATAATTATGATTTAGTGTTGTTGATATTATGATTATTACTATGATTATTATCATATTATCATTATCGTTTTACTACTTTTGGCAGGAAAATTAGAGTGATAGCTGTTATTACTCTTGCTGATGATTTCTTGATATTGGAAATTTAAGCTCGTTCGATAATAACTCCCTCATTAGTATCTTAGTTGTGATTCATAAAATGCATTATTAGCATTATTTTCGATAGCTAAAAATCGGAAATCCTGGCACGAATAATGATAACGACTACAAAAAGCTGTGTTACGGCGTGACGGACGACGCTGACAGTCAGATAGAAGGGGTTCTTAGAAGCGGGTTCAAGCGTGATTTGAAAGAGAAATTCACCCTCGGAGATGCTGTTCTTTACTTTCTCCTGTAATTCGACCCTTCCTTTCATCAGAGGAGAAAGCGCATGGAAGAAGAGAGAAAGAAACGTCTTTCCTTCAATGTTTCCCCCTTTTGATGAAAAAAACAACAAGAAAACATTGTCAGACATGAATTGTTTCATTGAAAGTTGTTGGGTTGTAGTTAGTGCGGCCCCTTGCACTTTCGATCACTTTCTCCTAAAGTCTGCAGGCAAGGCGGGGGAGAGAGCGCAATATCTTTATATTTATAAATATGTTTTAAAGATATAGATATTGCCTAAATATCAAACAATATAAAATAGTTTTTTGTCTGAATTGTCTCTGTTGCACAATAATTAAAACTTAATATATGGTTACATGAGTCAGCGCAACTTCAACAAGGTAACAACCGTTATGTCGGCCAGCTGTAAAGGTTTTACTCTTCTTAAGCGCGCTTGTCCACGCAGTGTGACCGGCCAACGGCAGACATGTGTTAAATGATAATTGGTTCTTAGCCGCTGTGATGGGGATGATGTTTGAATGTTGGCGATGTTATCTAAACGTTAGTGCTTTTACACAGGTGGTGGGGAATATCCTACGATGTTGACAGTAAGGCACGGCCGTTGGGGGCGATGTTGATTGGTGGAGGCAATGTCGAGTGGCGGAACGATGCCGAGTTGTGAGGATGGAGCTCGAGTATTGAAATGAGGTTTGAGAATGATCCACGAAGTTTGGGATAGAGCTGGAGTTTTGGGGATGATACTCTAGTATTGGGGGTTGAAGCGCGTGTTAGGAACGGCGTTGGAATGTAGAGGATGGTGCTCGGGGGATAGGGATGATAATTGAGCGTTGGGAAATTCTACACAAATGCTTAGGATGATGCTCGGTTTTTGGGGACAGTGCAAAATGTTGGAGATGAAGCTCAAACGTATATATGCTTCTATCATCTTACTTCACAGCAATTAGAGTAAACCTGTGGGGTGAATGTTTAAAGTGTTACTGTAGTATCCATGTCACATGTCTCAGAGTGAAAGTGGTTGCATTGTAAGTAGGAACAAGAAGTGTTTAGTTCCATGAAGCGTTGGTGTAAAGATCACTTATCTTTTTAATTGACCGGACCACCTGCTGCATTGTTCTGCACTGTATTCCAACAACAGTCCTACGAAATCCACTTCAGAAAAAAGGCAACGCTCTCGTAACGTGATTTCAATTTCTACTTACTCTTAGCGTCGATAACGCCTTTGTTTGTTTGTTCAAGCATGACATTCTTGTTTCTATTGAAGATGACCTTTAGCTGCCCCATTTCTCACGAGTCGGTCTAGAGGATTTGATTTCAGGCGCCTTTGGCTCTCCAAGCGAAGACGTTGTAACAGGACTAGAGGGAATGACTTGGCATAGGGGTCATTTCAGGCGCGCAAGGGTAGGGACTTGGACAACGAACCGCTCTTATTGCAATGTAACTGTCATTTTAATGTCATTTGAGGATAGTTTTAGAAATTCCCCGCACTTGATGAATACGAGAGAAGCATTTAAGATATATAGCGGTTGAGTTTATCAATTATCTGTATATTATAATATTTTTTGTTTTGTTTGTTTATATAGCTTTTTTATCTACGCGTGGAATAGAGGGAGGAAAAAGGGAAAGAAGGAAGAGAGAGA